TTTTCCGTCCGTCCGGACCCACTTCTGCCGTTTCGAACTACTTCTAGGGGGGGGGGGTTAAACACTTATTCTACCCTTCATGGTATCCTAATGAAAGGTTTGTACAAACTGTAACTTTCCCGTGCGACTCTTTGTCAAAATCAGTGAGGGGGGGGATAAAAATAATGTTACCTCTCATTGTATTCTAATTAAAGATCTCTACTAATGCCCTTCTTTTTGTCCTCTCATTTCTGTCTTATCTCTTATCAAAGTCCGAGGGGGGGGGGGGCTAGTTTTATCCTTCATGGTACTCTAACGAAAGGTCTCAACGAAAGGAATTCATTTCTACCAACCAAAGCCCTCCTTCTCGACCTCTTATCGTGATCGGGTATATTCCCTTATACCTCAAGAACGGATTGTCGGAAAAGGGTACTCACAAAGGGCGATGGAGACGTCTGCAAGAAATATATCCATTGGTGATATCAAAACAAAAGTTATTTCCTCGGTTATTTCGGTTAAAAAAAAATGCTCTTTATCTGCACAAGAGTTGTGCACAATTTATACTTGTTCCAAATTGTTTGGAAAAGTTTATCATAGTTTTATTCCCTGGTTTCACAACAGCGCATAATTTGCGTCCTTCTTGAGCGTCTCCATTTTCGTAAGTATTTTTCCTAATCATGTAACGTCTTCAAATGGTTTTATTCCATGCGGATAATTTTGGGCTTCTTTACTTGTCTTTTTTATCCCGAACCGTTTAAAGGTTCAGAATAGTTTTATTCCAACTTCAAAATGGCGCATAATTCTATGCCGTATTGTATTTTTTGTGCGTTTTTTTGCAGATATCAGAAGCGTTCAACATAATTTTCAAGGGGCTTCAGAAGGCGCATAATTTGCGCCCACTTTAGCCTTTTCACGTGTATCCATTTTTGTCCGTAGTGACCAAAACCGCGCTTATTTTCTTTTTTGTAATTAACATAACTACAAACCGAAAGGGAGAGAATTGGTAAAAGTACCAACAACAAAGGGGAAGAGTAAAATAAATGCAATTTGTACGCTGTACTGAGCCTCTGGAATAAAGCTACGCTTAAACCGTAAAAGTTATTGCAAGTCGTGCACGAGTTTGACACAATTTTATTCCAGGGTCCCAAAATAGCGCATAACTTTCTCGAGCGTCTCCGTTTTCGTTCGTGTTTATTCTAAGTCTTGTACTAATGTAACACATTTTTATCCCAGGCGTGTTCGTATTTATTCCAAAGCATGCACGAGTTTAGTATAATTTTATACTTGGGTCTCAGAACAGCGCATAATTTGCGTCTACTTGATTCTTTTCCTTTATTATTATTGGAGTGTTCCAATTTATTCCAAAATCTACACGTTTAGTACAATTTTATTCCAGCGTTTCAAAACAGCGCACAAGGTGCGTTCCTTCTCGATCGTCTTTCTTTTCGTTCGTATTTATTCCAAACCTTGTACGTATTTAACGCCGATTTATTCAAAGGATTTATTCCAAATCATGTACAGGGTGGCCAACTAAGAATGCGAGGTACTGTATCTGAGAATCTATCCATCGTAGAGGCTTGCGGTAAAAAAATGTATTACTAAAACCACCACGAGCAAAACCTGAAAAATATTTTTAAGTTTCTTAAATGACCGCTAGGGGGCGTAACTGATGTTTCTGTGAATTCCGCTATATACTATAACCTAACAAAAAAATGTCCGGTCTTTGAAGTCGACGATAATCTGAACAATTTGTGTTTGACAATTTTTCTTGTATCTCTAAAAATGAAGTGGTGGAGGGTATTCAAAGGTTTCCGTAAAGAACACCCTATATCTTCGAAACGGCTGAGCCGATTTAAACAAACTCGGGTTAGTTCAAAAGAGCTATTCTTCAGCTACAAATATTATACTATTTGAAGTTTTGTTAGTTTCACATATCACCGCTTGGGGGTTTTTTTCGACATTCCGTCACAAATGGTTAATTTTCTCAAAAAAATTAAGTGCATTGGTTCGATTTTTTTTTTCATGAAAAAGTAGCTATAAATGATGCCTAAACAAGCTCGCGGCAACCTCGCCAAGCGGCGATATGTGAAACTAACAAATCTTCAAACATTATAATATTTGTAGCCGAAGAATAACTCTTTTCAATTATCCCGAGTTTGTTAAAATCGGCTCAATCGTTTCGAAGATACAGGGTGTTTTCTACGGAAACCTTTGAATCCCCTCCACCACTTCATTTTTAGAGATACAGGAAAAATTGTCAAAAAAAAGGTTCAGATTATCGTCAACTTATTTTTACCGCAAGCCTCTACGATGGACAGGTTCCCAGATACAGTACCTCTAATTCTTATTTGGTCACCCTGTACAGGCTTAGTATAATTTTATTCCATGGCCTCAAGAGAGCGCATAATTTTGGCATACTTTATCCTTCTCGCGGGTCTCAATTTTGTACGTATTTAACACATTTCTTAGTTTTATGTTTAGGTATGCCGATAATATACGAGTTTAATAATTTTATATCAGGCGCACAATTTTCGCCTACCTCATCTTTCTCCAGTGTCTCCCTTTTCGTAATTGTTTTTTTCTCTAAATCATGTGCTTGGTAGGCATAATCTTTCTCGAGGTGACCCAAAACCACGCTTAATTTGTACCATATTTATTTTTTTGCGCGTTTCCAAAATGTTAAAACCGCGCATGATTTTCGCCGATTTATCCTTATCAAGTCTCTCTTTGTATTGTTGGGGTGTTCTTTTTATTCCAAATCATTTACGGGTCCAAATTTTGTAAAGGTTTAACAGTTTTATTCCAAAGGCTCAAAACGGCGCATAATTTGCGTCCACTTTCTTCTTCCTTGCCGTCTTTCTTTTCATTCGTATTCGTATGTACGTACAGGAATAAATATCTACGAATAGAAAGAGACCTGTCACGTGGCTATGATCATGGAAAGCTCAAAGGTTAATGGTCTCATTCTTTTGTGGTCTCATATGTCATCTTTCAGAGCATTCGAGGTCAATGGTCCCATTTTTGTAATTTTATTTTCAAGGTCATCAGAGGTCAATGGCCACATTCTTGCGGTGTCATTTGATTTCCAAGGTCATCAGAGATAAATACTCCCATGCTTTTTAGTATTATATTTCAATTTCAAAATCATTAAAGGTCTGTCGTTTTGAAGGTTATCACAGTTCAATTTTTCTGGTGTTATTTTTCAATTTCAAAGTCGTCAAAAGTCAATGACCCAATTTTTTGGGGTGTCATATTTCATTTTTAAGGTCATCAAAATTCAATGGCCCCATTCTTTGTGGTTGCATTTTTCATTTTCAATATACACCTACCACATGTAACAAGCTTATTGAAAATGGGTCAAATCCAATGACACCGTAGGGTCACACCGAGGTGCTCTGCCGCTTTTTTAGATGCGCTTTAGGGTTTATTAAAGGTGGATCATTCCATCACAAATTTTATATACTGTGTAACATTTTATTCTAAGGGTTGAAAATAGCGCATAATGTGTGCTTACTTCCAGAGCGTTTACCTGTCTTCCAAATCTTGGAATGGTAGTTTTATTCCAAAGGCTCAAACTGGCACATATTTGTCTTTTTCGTGCGTCTTCTTGTGTATTTAGATTTATTCCATCTTGAAGGTGGACCAGACGGCCATCAATGTTCGCTGTCTAAAAGGGGCCCCCCCAGCAATTATTTCGGGCGGGGGGGGGGGGGGGGAGTGGAACTAGTTTTATCCTTCATGGTACTCTAATGAAAGGTCTCGACGAAAGTAATTAATTTCTACCAACCATAACCCTCCTCCTCGACCTCTTATTGTGATCGGGTATATTCCCTTATACCTCAAGAACGGATTGTCGGAAGATTGTGTACTCACAAAGGGCGATTGAGACGTCTGCAAGAAATATATCCATTGGTGATGTCAAAACAAAAGCTATTTCGGTTTAAAAAAATGCGCTTTATCTGCACAAGAGCTGTGCACAATTTATATTTGTTATTCGTATAGCAAAATGTTTATTCCAGCAGTTCAAAACGGCGCATAATTCGCGGAAATTTGTAATTTTTTATATGATTGTAATTCGCTTAATGCGAATACCACACTCACTTAAGGGACACCGAGAAGTAAGTGCGAGAACGATTTATCACCCTTAACCGTCTTGTAATGGAAATTGATGACATTACGAAATACAAATAAATAACTCGGTTAGTTTCACTCGTAATTTCTGAATTTCAATTCGAGGCCCGCTCCACAAAAGCGACGGAAAAGGAAATATTGAACGTCTCCTCAACTCTGAAAACTCTTCTGTTATGCGATCCTTGGCGATGTCGGAAAACAATATTGCATTTCTCCCGCTCGAATATTATTCCATTAGCCTTCTTCAAATCCTTTATGCAAAGACAAGGTAGACATTTTGAAGAGTTTCGATGTCAAGTCCGGACTGCTTGTTGTCTGTGTCCCAATAGGCGTAGGCAATTTCCTCAACTGTCAATCTGTCGATTTATTTACCCACTTTGTTCCATCGCTATATGCACTTACCTCCGACTTTGCATTTTTCGTCGGATAATGCAAATTTTGAAGCCTTAAAAGCTTTGAACGTTTTTAAGGATGGATCGGGGACTAATTGGTTTTTAAACTTTATGGCGTTAGCTTAAACGCTTTTCGAAAGGCGTATTATTGGCAGCCGCAATGCGATTTTTATTGGGATATCAAGTGAAACTGGGTTAAATATTCCGAATTTGATGGACGATCAAAATTTGATGGCCATCGTCACGTTCGACAATAGCTGTCATACGTTTTCGTCGTTCCGTTGATGAATCGATAAGTTCAAATATCGCGAAACTACGAGATTTCAAATTTAATTATTCAAATTCAAGGGGGCGTTACGGTTAGCCCCACAAATAACAGTTTAGTTACCATTTTCCATTTGGGTTCCATTCTTGTAACTAACGCGAGCGTCAATGAAAAACTACCCTCATCCAAATGCAAGCCACCAACAGTTTGTAATTGCATAACCTTTGTTTCAGATACGAGCACGGTGACAATTTCGCCTTCGATGGAAAGGGACAAATTTTGGCGCACGCATTTTTTCCCGGTTCCGGCCGTGGAGGTGACGCCCATTTTGACCTGGACGAAAGTTGGATAGTACACGAGGATGACGCGTCAGACGGTACGTTTAGATATCAGAGAGGAGAAATATTTTTATGGCCCGTTAACGACGTTTTTTTTCTTCGCCCTTTGTGCGAAAGTCGGCTGCCACTTGCGAAAGATAAATTATTGGAGCGCACCATTTCAAATTTAGCTAACGAAAGGAAACAACGCGATAAATAATAACACCAATTAGATGTTATTCCGAACAATAACATTTTTTGTTAAAAGATACAAATTTCGTTTTTATTCCTTGGCAATTTATGTCGTCAGTTACCTATACTTTCTCTCGTTATGCGTACGCCCTCTAACTTTTTTCGAAATGCCAGGTTTAGTGAAATTTTCATTCATCAGTTTAAGAAAAACTTAATATTAATAGTTTCGCTATAGTTCAAAATACAGTTTTAGGCAGGAAACCCAAAATGAATTTCGCGAACCCATTCAAGTGAATACAGCACTATCAACTTTACTCATAATCTAAAAACGGTTCCTAAACTTGTCTATCCTAGTGTTACCTCCGCGTTGGTTACGCCACTGTTTGTTGATTTTTCTTACTGACTCGTTAACTTGTAGTTGCTCCTTAGGTTATTAACTCGTTGCATGAACCTACCTTTTTTCTTGCCTATATAAATACTTGTTATGTATTTTGTATTAATAATGTGGTATTGATGTACCCATAACTTAATTTGGGTTTATGACAATAAAATTTGGGAACATTGTGCTCAGATAATGTGCCAATTTTAAATATTCCTGATACGTTACCTGAATTATACGTTTGATATACCTACTGTCAAATGTAGGTCTGCTTTATTTATGATGCAAACGTTATAGGTTACAATATACACAATTCCTTGTAAGGTTTAAATCAATACACCATTTGAATGAAAAATGATATAATTGACCGCTAAACTCTGACGCGCAACATTTTAAACCATTCTTCAGAGAAACGGAAATGCAGTTCAGCTTATTTAATGTAACTAGAATACAAGACGTACCTTATCTGAAACCAGCCGGTGTAACTGTGACGTCACAGGAAAATATAGATAAATGGCCCTGGTTTCCAACGTAATTCCGGAAAGGTAGAACGACGACAAAGGCAGGATTGTCATGACAAAGGCTTCCTCCCAATCTTACATTCTTTTCACGGCAATCTTCAATTTGAATGGCTATTACTTTATAAATAATATCAACATTCACTATCATTAGGTCATTAAGAAATAGCCAATAGAAACAGAAGTACCTATGATTTCGTTGGTTAGCGACGCACAATATATCTTTGTTACTTCCCAATGATTTAAGGACAATGAACTTATGCTATTGATTGCATAAACTCACCGTAATTTTTAGGAGAGGGGGGCGACTTTGACATTTTATATGAAATGATGCACTTTTTGGCTGCTTGTACATTGTTGAATATGTATGAAAAAGCACTCTTGGAACAATATTTAGCACTTTTTCCACTAAATATACCTAATGAGATGTCGCTTAAAAATATACGTCAAGCTTGCCTTGGCTGCTTCACGCGTCTCATGGAGAAGAGAGAATCTTTAGGAGTCTAAACGCTTCTGGAACTCTTGGAGACTCTTTGAGCCTCTCGGATTCTTCTAGAGACTGTTTTGACTCTTTCAGGTCTCTCAAAGACATATAAAAGCTCTTAAATGCTCATAATGACTCTGCAAAGCAGGTTTTTTGCACTCTTAAAGCGCATTAATGATTGTTAAAGGATCATTAAAGGCTATTTATAGGCTCTCAACGTATATAGCATACTCTTGCAGTCAGAATTGGAGACTCATAGAGACACTTAAAAACTCTAAAAGTGTCTTGAGGCTTTGAACTTCTCAATGATTAATAAATAACTTCGAAGTCTCTAAAAGCATCTGTAAGGCTGTTGAATATGCCCTCTTCCAACCAGATATTCCAAATTGAAGTTTTGATCGTACTGACAGACCTTCAATTTTCGCTTGGGGAGTATCTCTGATTTGGAGTTTTGAATTTCGTCTCGTCTAGACCTTCAATTTTGCCGTTGAGAGTGCCCCCTTTAGACACTCCGTTCTCGAGATATTCGGATTTGAAGTTTTAAAAACGGATTTGTAATTGCGGGAACAGAAGGCGCGGGTGTACGGCCGGGTCAGACCGGCTTGACGCAATTAGGCTACTTACGTACACTTAAAGGTTTAAAGTCTCAAGATACTTCAGGAAATTCGTCTTGATGAAAACTCGTGAGATTTGTTGAAGATTCTGGCTCTTGAATGGTGCTTTTACAAGTTCGACGCTTCTGCAAGATATTTAATGACAAATACTCGTAAAGAACATTGTTGAAAAAGGTTGATTTTAAAAACATTTAAAATGCCTAAATAACTAGTTACTCACCTCAATGCACCACGCTACCACAACTCACTTATAAATATATAATATAGCTTTAAAGAGTTTTGAGGATTCTGAAATGTATTTGAAGGGTATTAAAAGTCCCTTTCAAACCCTGCTTCCAGAAGACTCTTGGAGACTCTTTGGAAACCAGTAGATACTATTTGCGACTTTTGAAGGCTGGTAAAAATCCTTTCAAATTCTTACAAGCTCAAACAACTCAAAAACGGTTTCCCTTAGAAGGAAAAGAGAATATTACGAACTTTAAAAGCTTCTGGAATATTTTTGGAAAATTTTGTGACTTGGAAACTCTTGAAGCTGTGACCTTTAAAGACTTTAAGGCTCTTAAAAGCTCTTCAAAGCACTTTTCTTACACACGTTTTAATCGTGTTTAAAGATTGTTAAAAAGTTTTAAGGGCTCCAATGGGGAGTATAGACTCGATACCTTAAGTCTCTAGAGAACCCTTTGGAGTCTCTTAGTCTGGTTTTAATGTTTTTTTAAATAATGCTTTTAGACGGAGACTCTCAAAAATTAATAAATATCTGTAAAGACCTTTTCAGCTTTTTAAAGGCGCTCCAAGGATTATACGTTCGTTAAATCTGAAAGTCTCTAACTCTCTTGCGGATACTCGTGGAAGACTGCCTGCGACATTTAAAGCCGTTTATGGGCCTATAAAGAGTATTAAAGGGTTTTATGAAACTAACTTTAAGAGTGTTTCAGAGACATCAAACGTTTTCCATCTAAAAGTCTTCCGCATCGCTTTTTAATAGCCTTTAGAGCCTCTAACGGGCCCTTAACATCCTTTAAGAGTCTTAAAGAACTTTAATAGTACATCTACATCTTTAAAACTCTTTACGCTTTTTAAGGGTCTCTAAAAATCTCCAAGATCCTATACATTCGTTTCTTAAAAGTCCTTAAAAAGAATCTTTCCGAGCTTTTAAAATATTACAAGTATTTAAAAGCTTTAAAGGATGGCAAGGAATAATTCTCTTGAAATCTCATGAAGCTTTTTTAAATCCCACTTTTGAAAACTGTTGATGGACCTGAGTGACTGGTGGCACTTCCAGTTTCATCAGAGATTGATGCCAACTTTCTTATTTTAAATGGAACACCCTATGTATTATTTCATTCTTGAAAGGTGCTAACAGGCGGTCTCTCTAAAAATGCGTGTTTATTAAGGATCTTCGAGATAGTTTATAATTTTGTATTGCTATCTGTCTGTCTGTTCGTGTTCCACTGTACGTATTCTTAATCTATAAGAAAGGTTGATATTGTTTTTCAGCGAGGCCGCCGGGCCAAAAACTGCACATACTTCCAACTTACGCTTAGGTGCTACAGTTTGTACTCCTCATATTTGTAAATGTGGTGCCAATGTGGATAAGTTTGGGCATCATGGTTTATCTTGTCAGAAGAACACAGGAAAGTACAGTCGCCATCGAAACATCTTAGAATGTCAAAAAAGAGCATTTCATGAGGCTGGTTATTCAGTCATCTTAGATCCTCCTCATCTTTTTGGAATTGATAAAAAACGACCCGATGGGAGAACTTTAACACCTTGGATGGAAGGACGATGTCTGGCATGGGACTTTACTTGTGTTGATACCTTATGTCCTTCGTATCTCTTCTCCTCGGTGAAGAAAGCAGGTTCTGCAGCCGCTTTAGCTGAACGCAGAAAGAAAAATACTTACGCTGCTTTAGAACCTAAATTTATTTTTAACGGATTCGCTGTAGAAACCATGGGTCCGTGGGGAAATGAAGCGAAAATGATGACAGCGGCAATTGGTAAAAGACTCAGGCAAAAAACAGGAGAGTCCCGCTCAACCCAGTTTATTTACCAACGGATAGGTATAGAAATTCAAAAAGGCAACGCCGAATGTGTTTTAGGAACTTTACCTTTTTTTAGTAATTCTTTTCATGAAATTTATTATGTTTTAAAACCTGGTTCTTATATGTAATTTGTTCTTGTTCTATTATTTTCATTAAACAATTTGTTCCTTAAAAAAAAAAAAAAAAAAAAAAAAAAAAAAAAAAAAAAAAAAAAAAATTCTATATTTTGTCTCATTTTTGAGTTAGTAAATATGCCTTAAGCTTCAAGCAACCATGCAGATGAAAAAAATTATTTTCCGCATGCGCAATCTGACATTTTTATTTGTTAATACAGGGTGTCCCACGGTAAATGCCTCCTATCTACATCTTATTTTAAATAGAGCACCCTATATATTATTTCATTTTTAGGGTTACGAAAATTTCCATGAAAGCTGTTATTTATTTATTTATTTATTATCCCTCTCTAGTTCTGGGCTCTCAACAGGCTTGCGCCCAATTACAGAGTGACCCGCATAATGCTTTTTAGAGGTGCCTCTGCAGAGGATCTTAAGTTGTTCTATACTGCTCCGTTATTTACCTTACGAATTAGGAAAACTGAAGGAAAACCTAATTCGGAGTAGCCGGTAGAATTCTCGGAACCGGTCTAAGGCAATTTTCATCTCTGCCACGCTCCAGATGAAAAATTCACCTCAACCCAGGTTCGAACACCCGACCTCCGGATTTATAGCCCAACGCTCTACCATTGAACTATAAATCCAGTTATTTAATTCTAGCTGGTTTCCTTTTAGATTGATGCCGGTTTCGTATAAATACCGAGGCGTAAATCTGAA